ATGGAGGAGAGGAACGTTTCATGCTCAGGTTCCCAAGCACTTCTTCTTCCTGTTACCGCTACTATGGCTTGCAGACATTGACCACCGGACACGCTCATGTGTCGATGAATTATTATTCTTAATACGTAATAAAAAAATATATATGTACACACTCATACGCATATACGAAAGAAGAGGAGTGAAGAGACGAGGTGAGAAGAGAAGCAGCGTTACTTGAAAAACGTATATAGTTTACAATAGGCAACTTCCGTCGTTCCCACAGCCGCCGTTCGCCAGTTTTCTAGTTCTAGTTTTCAGTCGCTACCTGGGCAATTTAAACACAACCTTTCGGGTCTCGGCTTTATTGCGGAGAGACCACTTCATTTCTTTTCTTTGTTTTTTTTCTTGATGGAACGAAATTCAGTGGTCGAGGGGAGGAGGATCCTCGGAGCAAAAATAATGGGAGAATAAAGAAAAAAATATGAGAGGAACGAACGTCGTGAGCGTGGAGTGAAACATAATATCTTTCTGCAAAGGACGATGGAACCTACCGCAGAGCCCTCCCTATCGAAGGGAACAACAAAAAAGGAAGCGCCGTGGTACGGAGGCGACATTTATGGCGATTTTATGGTGATTGCAGCCGAGGAGAAACCCGAAACTGCAACTCTTTGCTTATTTTAATACGCACATTGCGGAATAATGCAGTTTGCCACAATTTATTTACCAATTTGATTTACAGGTATACAGCACATAACACGTAGAAAATTTAGTATAGTATAATTATTACAATAAATAAAGTTATTATATTATGAATATTTATTATTATTAAAAAAACGTGTGTCATTCATTCGACTTCGTGTTATGAGAGGGATTATTTGTAATTAAGTTGGAAGGAAACCGTTTTGTAAAAGTAACGTGTTATACAAGAAATATCTGTATCATTTTGTCCTTAATGAGTCGTGGAATAAGTTTTTTGGTAGAAGTTCCCTTTGTCCGCGCTGTAGCTTGGAGAAGATGAATAGCAAGTTACGTCAAGGTTATCAATAAAATGCCCGAGAAGTCCATTGTGCAGAAATAAAATATATATAATAATCGAAGAGTGTGTGTGAGAGAGAGGGAATAAGGTTGTTCAGGTTCCTTTTGAAATATGGAGCATTGTGCGAGCTTTGGCGAGAAGCCCCCTTGTATTATATCCACCAATTCACTCTGTCTCTCAGGTATAATAATAGTAGCGTGTGTGATTGTTCTGCTTTGCATACCGACAACCGCAATCCAATTAATCTACTAATAATAATTCGGTTCTGATCGGTCGAAACGTTTCTTACGTCTCAGAAGCAAAAGGGAAAAAAACGAACCCTACAATAGTGAGTATGTCGACAATGGTTCGACTCCCACTTAGTCAAAGTACAACTTTCGCTCATTAATTATTATTACAAGCGCGCGGGTCAACGAAAATCTTGCACAATCGATTTGATATTTTGCTTTTTGGACCTAGCACCTGGAAATGTCAAGCGGGAAACTCTACGAAATATATGTAATAATTGGATGTCGCTGCGTGTCTGTCTACTTGCCGCAGTTCTTTTCCAACTTTGTATATTTGAATATGTGATCTGCTGGGTTGGCCCGAGCGTTTGCGCAATTGTAGATAAGAGTGGTGTGTTATGTGCGCGGTGACACAATTAAAAAATTAATAATGTAGGACAATTACTGGATTATTGCCGTGCCCCTTGCTCGCCTGTGTTTCATAACATCGCCAACAATAATATTGCCTTTTTGCGAATTTCCGATGCAAAGGGAAAGTGTCTGGGGTCTGGTTTGCGCCAATCGAGCGAGCACATGTGCGCGCCTTATCTACCAACTCGATGCAATATACAAACTATATACAACAACGACACACACAAACACACAGAGACAAAAACAGAACGCGCCCGTTGGAGAGACAAATGGGAGCAAAATGAGCGAAAAGCCACCGAACCATGGTTATCTCAAGAATTTCGACTCAACCAACTCAATACGTCGGGCCTCTGTGTGTGTGTATTAATTTACAAAATTCGCGTGTTCTGCATTCGCTCGACAATAATTTACATCTTCGGGGCCGATCCAATCGACCGGCAAACACACTCATACACACGCACACAGATACGTACGAGGCCCGTCTGGGGCCCCCACACAAAGATGAAACTTGATGACCACTAATACGAGGAGAACAACAACCCAATCCCTCGAAGCGTGTTTTTTATTTTTATTGTTTGTTGCTGCTGTTGTTGTTGTTTTTCATCTCCAGTCCGAAAAGAAACAAACAAACACGAAACAATCCAGTTTAGATATACCAAAAACTTAATTAACATCAATGAAAAAGGTGGAACAGCGACGGCTATGAGCAATTCCAAAACCAGAGCCTCTCAATCCTTTGTTGCACTAATTAATCTCATCCTAAAGACTATTTCAAAAGCAATTATTCTCGATCCTCATTTACATAGTTATTTGTACATTTTTTTGTAATAATATATATTTGAGACAATAAACTTTAAGTCTAATACTTAATGAATAATAATATTAATATAATTTTTAATGACATGGAAAATGTTTAAAGTTAATCGTACTTATTTTATCAATTTTATGAAAAATAAAATGATTCTAGTTTTAAGAAATTAATTTTCGAAACAAATAAATATCAATGTTGTTTCTTTTTATTAGATCATAGTAGAAAATACGTAGAATAAATCATGTAGATCGAGTGAAATGCCAAATTGTCAACATGAATGCAAATATGGAAGAGAAACACGATTAATAGCTACGAAAATTGCGCAACTTAAGAGTATACGCAATCGAGTTATTCAATTAGATAAATTGGGTGTCAAACATTTTGGTTATGGTAACCGCACGAAAAAAGCTAGGTCAATAGCCATCCACATATTATTGCGGCTTTAAAACATATCGCGTAAATTATTTAAAAAAAAACTTTGTAACGTCCGGCGCAAAAATGCAATCGGAATCCAGTTTTGCATTTTACATCGGTTGCATTTTTTTTCACAATGCACAAATAAAATATGATCATCATCAAAATCGCGCTGCGAAAAGGCGCTTAAGGCTCTTACAGTTTTCAATTACTTCTTTAATTCCACGCAATGATTTATTCATTCTTCCTAACAAGTTCAAGGCTGAGTACTTTTCCTGGACCCCTTCGTCCAATCACCATAGCTCTGATTATGTATTCTTTGTATATTTACTTCTTTTACTGTCGCATTATATTATTGATTGCAAACGGAAGCAAATACATATAACAGGACTAGCTGAGTTTGTTTAATATTTCTTGTTTGTTTTATATTATTAAATTAAACAATCATTGTTTGATCTTCTAGTTGTAAAATGTTCATTGATAAATAAGATTTACGAGGACTACTATATACGATCAGTTAATTTTCGAAACATCATAAATTAAGTATTCGGTAATAAACATATCTAAACGGAAGCTCCAATCGATTAAATGCAAATGAATTGTTGATCAATTACTTTAATTAGTATCAATTAAGAGGAGTGAGACATCTCAGGATTTGCTTTCGCATCGTCTCATCCGTTTCTATATGTGTTTACTTTAATAATTGCAATTCCAGTACGATTGAAATTTCCATTCGCGATCGCAGTTCGTTCAACTCGAGTTCTGCTGAACGCAAAAACCGATCGATTCTGACAATGCCATTTAAACAAACAAAACTAGGAAAAAGCGAATCGCGTCTAGGATAGACCACGAATAGGAAACAAATATGTGTGTGTGGTAGAAAGAGAAAGAGACCATGGTGTAGCCTTGAATCTCTCCAGACAAGGTCAAGAAAACTGTTACGGCTGTATTCACATGTTGCTACGCATTCGAATCGCTGTAGAACAAAAAATAAACTAAAATAATGAAGGTTGTGGTTCGCTTCTTCTTTAACACCCTAATCTACACCCGAGCTACTCTCGAGTTAATTGACTTGCATTTCCGGTGTTGGTGTTGTGTATTCTATTTGGTGGATCGGAGAATACTACATATATTTGCTAATATATGTAGACACTAAGTCGGAATTCATTGAAAAGGTATTGTACTATGGTAGCGTAGCCTTGAACTCTTGGTAGTAGTGCAGGCCGGGTTTTTTGCTCTCAGCGCGCCACTAATAATACATAATTCTACATATTTTTGCGCGTCCGCAATTTCGCTTCGCCGCAGCGAAAAAAAAATGGAAATAAAAGTGAACATAATATACTCGCTCGTTGGCCTCCCTTTTGTCGCACGTATATATAGATGTTGTATATAGATATAGTATATGGATGTATATAAAGGAGAGAAGCAACCCCTTAGGGGGAGTTACGTCATCGCGAAAAAGAGGAGAGCGGTAAATAGAGCTGTAGTTGGAGTAGTCGAGGGGGATGGAAAGAGCAAGAGAATCAGCAATCGATAGTTTTTGCTTGAAGTGAAGGAATGAAGCGTATAAGAATCGCGCGGTTTCCATTCCGTCTGAATAATATATTCACACAACTTCCTGCCATTGACTCATGCGGGACACCTCGTGGAATATATATTATGGAGGAGACAAAAAAGAAGAAAAGAACAAGGGGAGAGGAATCGGCATTCAACCACATCGTCGGCGAGGAATGTGTGGGTACATCCTGCGGATGAAGAAGATCGAATGTCTACTACCCAGTCCTATCGCATCGCATGCCATCGATGATCAGGACTACAACAATCCAAACCCGATCGGATATCATCGTACACGAATTTACGTTATTTATAAATAGAAGATGCCGACTACAAAACGTGTATGTTTCCGTTCGAATCCGTAGATAACGAGGCATGGTCATGTTTTGCCTCGACGTACGCGCGTTTCCCGTGCGTTCAACCGACTAATGTCGGTGCGTTGCTACTTTTTTTTGTCGATGTTTCGTAGTCCGATACATATATACTACTAGATTATGATGGGTTTCGATATGATACAAACATAGATAGATATATAAAACGATAACAAATAAATTTTAGAAGTGCTTACCTTGTCTGCCAACGATCTCGGCCACATGTTCGGAGCTGGGCACCGGCACACATTCAGTCATATTTTGAGATTTCTTCGATCGGACCTCGTCGAGACCTAGGTTGGTCATTGGGCTTACGAACGAGCCGAGCGGATCCGTCGGGCTATCAGGCTCGGACACCGACGACAGCGGATCATTCAGACCCATCATCGTGAGTTCCAAAGCCAACTGCAGGGCCCTATCGTCGCCGATGCTATTGGTACGATCCATTTCAGAGAAGAAACTTGCGGGCATATTTTCACCACTCGAAATGATTGCTGCCGATCTTCGTCTGCTCGCGATTTTCGTAAATTAAAAAAAACAGTTCTCACAGTCTAAGGTCTCTGGCTGCAATCTTTACTCCCTCTCGGACGATTCCAATTTAAATCCTCGACTGATTGTCGCAGTTCTTTTTAAGATACACACTTAAGATTCGGCGATGGCCCGGCCAATTATCTATATATATATAAATATATATATAGTCGATTAATTTGATAGTTTTTTTGTTTGTTCTCTATGTCTCTCTCCTTTATTGTTTATGGTGCTTCCTCTCTCGTCTAGTAAGTTTTCTGGTTGAACGCAAATAGTTTTTATAAATACAATAAAAACCACGTTTAAGTATTAAAAACGATTTCACTGGTACAAAAATATAGTATTAAATATTTTTTAAGGGTCTAAGTGTTTATTGTGTTTATCAAGCAGATGTACTCGGACTGCTTGCTTGGAACTGACTGAAATTTAAGCGACAAGCGTGTTGGGTAGAACCATGTGCGCAAGATTTCCATCAAGGAGCATGCGCCAACCCAAAAGCCGGGCCGCGAGTTTTGAACCTTAGTTCTCTCGCTCTATTCTATACAAAACATACACACATACATAAGGTTCTTCCCCCTACCAACCACGTCCTTTACATACAGACACATCCATGAGCGCTCTCTCTCACACACACACACACGCATCACACATATGTACCTATATCCAACGAACTGCTACGATATCCAACGAATTTCTACATAGAACAGGCAAACAAAGAAATAACAGATAACAACACGTGTTGGTGCATAGGTGTACGTATCATCGAGCGTTGTATAAACGGACGTTTCCTTTTTCTTTTTCACATTCCGGAAAAATACAGCGAAAATTCGAAAATTGGCGACGAAACATCGTCGTCGGGCAGACAATGGAGCATCTTAAATTCCGAGACCACTGCGATACACTTCCGGTGACCTCACCGACGCACATTAAATATTATTTTTTTTAATGCGCCCATTAATTTCCCAACATTCATTAACCCCGCTCACGTCTCTCGCCTTTTTTTTCCCTTCTTTTCTTTTGCTTTTCACCAATACAACTTCGCTTGCCAAACTTGAAGAAACTGAACCATAACCAATGGTTAAAGAACTGCTGAAATCGTGCCCGATCCGTGGCGCATTGTTTTTACTTTATTATTATTTAGCTACTTCGACTTTTATCAGAACAACAAACCGAAAAGGAAACATATTTACGATTGTGTCGGGAGTTTGCGCTGCCGAAGGTTGTTAGCCCGCACACTTACACACATATAAATACATACATATACACGCATACACTGTATATCCGTACAAAGTTTTCTCTCTGTTGTTAATACTTCAAACTTGAAGGAAAAAATGTTGCAAATGAATAATGTAGTCCATTTATTTCATGCAAAGTCTATCGATAAGAATTTACAAGAAATTCTTTGTTAGTTAGACGTCGGAAACGGTTTTTTTTTGCAAATCCACTTCCCTCTATCTTTGATAAATTCATCAAACTATATTTTAATGTAAATAATCATAACTTCTTTTAATTCTATCACTTCCTTTTCAATATTACTACGCATTTTATATATTCAATATAGATATAGATCAACGTTTTTGAATATTAATATATATTTATTCTATAATACTTATAATATGGCACCGTTGTAGGTTTATTGTTTTTGTATTTGAATAAATCAATTTTCTTTTTAATCAAAATTTACAATATTTATGAAGTAATTATAACGATTTAGCTTTTTTTTAATAGATTATATAACTATATAGTTTCTTTTTAAATAAATTGTATTAAATCTATTCCAATTTATTTTAAATTATACATTTACTTTTTGAATTTTGGTATATAAAAATAAATATTTTTACATAAATGTTATTAAACCAATTTCAAGGATAAAGTAATATATATGTTGATACAAGATATAGTTTAAACATATTTTGATTTCCAAAGCATTTTGAATTTCATGAAATTATTAAATCTTAGAAGAAATTTATTTAAAAAAAAATGAAAGATTGAATTAAAAATGGGTTTGAATTTTGAGTAAATCCCATGACATTAAAAAAAAAACTCGGATCTGAAATGAAAACAAAAATGTATGGCTTAAAGACCTGAATGGGAATGTCCGGATAATGAAGACATTTATTGCGTTTTTGAATCTGCAATGTTATGATTGGATGCGACAACCTTTTTTTTGCGAGGATACCGAATGAAAAACGGAGGACAGAAAAAAGGAACGGATGTGTTTCGAAAAAAAAAAAAAAACGATGAAGTAGAAGGAATAAATGGTCGGGTGGTTAAAGAGCTTTTGTGCGCACATTTCTTGAATGAACAATCACGCTCCTTTCCGACTGAAAAGAACGATGCATCATGTCCCAAATATATTCTGCACAATATAATTTCTATTAATATTTCCTGAACGACTTGTCGGATTTTCAAAAAAACACTCTGCATATGCAAACGCGCATTTGTACAGAATTTTAACAGCCCACGCTTTCACTACTCTTTTTGTTTTGTACTACATGTGTGTTTATTTACAATTATCCTTAAAAGGATATTAAGTGAATTGGTTAGCATGAATTATTGTCTTGGTATAAAGTTTTTCATGCAAGTCTAAGTATTTATTACAATTGAACTAAAATGAGTTAAATTCATGCGGTAAGTACACAATATTCTAAAGTTTCAAATTTCATTCTTAAATTTCTTTATTTACAGGTCTTTGTATTTAAACTTTTTGGGTATAGACATATATTTTCAACTAACATTTCTGAAGAATTTTGTTATTTCAATTGTTTGCAGAAACATATAATAATGCCTTTGTAGAAAATAAACCATTATGAAATTCTTCTCAGAACCCAATTTTTCAGAATTTAACACATATTATGTAAGTACATTTTCTTATTGTGTTCATGCCATAATTTTAAAGATAATGGAACTATGTACAAAATAAACTATTCTTATAAATATTCTTTTATAAATTAGTAAAAGTTTGATGTTTTTTAGAATCCTCTAAGTGTAAAAAATACAAAAAAAAATAAGTTTATTTATGTATAGACTTAGTTTACACTTATTTCAGTATTTCTTAATGTAATTACTAGAATTGATATATTTAATAGGAGAATCTTATTGGATATTGTTTCTATAAATTTCACCTAATATGATACATTGTTTATGTGATTTTCAAATTTGCATTATAAATTATTCAATACGTAACTAGTTTTATTTATATGTTTCATTCAGATTTATGTTAAAACGATTTAGTGGAGCATGATTTCTTATGTAAGTCTAGAAAGCGCTGTTTAAACGAAGTAATTATAAAAAGTTCTATATATCATTTGAATGCATTTGAAAAAAAATGAATAGTTACAAAATTCGATTTTATATCTAGTGTAATTTATTAAATTAATTTAAATTACTAATAAAAAAATATGGCAGAAAGACCTATGGTCAATAGCCCTTTGTATCAGTAAACTTTTTTTAAATTCTATATATTTATTTTGTTTTGTATATGTTTTTTTGTACGACTGATGCAATAAACATTATTATTATTAAAAAAAAAACTAATTATTATGGTTACTTTATATTTCTATTATAACTTGTTTTAAATGGAATAGAGAATACAATTTTTCATATAATTTAAAAGATATAAGTGAGACACTATGATTAAGTTATGAAATCACGATGACAATTGATTAGATAAAAAAAATTACGGCAAATTGGTTTGTCTCGGTAGAAATTTCTATTAGAGGCAATTTCGGCGATGGCTCGGATTATGAATTTCATTAAATTTCACTAAACCCGGGTCCCAGAAGCTATCGCTCCGAATCGATCTAATCACTTCAAGTCGCTTAAGATCATTTATAATTGATTTAGGACGCTCCAAATTTGCAAACTCGGCTTTGCATGCTATTATTATTAAATAAGTTAACATCGAGTGTTTATATAAATAGTTGTTATGTAATTAACAATTTAGTGTTATAAAAACTGAGAAAAGTCTGTTTAGGATACACAACACAAAAGGTGTAATAACTTTTATTGGTCAAACATTGTTCGTAAAACCAAAATGCTAACCACATGGATTACCAAATTGAATAGGTCAAGTAAGAGTTTCAAGGTTTGTTGAGGTTAACCGAAATAAAACAAACATTATTGGTAACAACAATAAATAAATACATTTTGGTTGAACCGCATATATTGTTTTTTTTTTATAATTCCCTTTGATCGGTTTATAATAATAAAAACACGTATAAAAAAGGAATTAGTCTGTTTTTGAGCCTTGTTCTTTTAAGAACCTTGCAAAAACGTGCATAAAGTGAATCACGAAGAATTTAATAAGAAAGAAAGTTGATTTTTTAGAAATAAAATTGTTAGTCCTTTTGTTTATTTTATTTTTTATATATCTACCATATTACAAAGTTGGATTTTGTAAATAAACAATAAATTATGTACTTAAATATATTTTCATAAAACAATATATTTGTCTTCAGTTATAATTCTCTATAATCGTCTTATGATAATAAAAAAAAATCGTAAAAGGTAATACTACTATTTTTGTAACCTTGTTCTTTCATAGTATTTTAAAAAGAATGTGAATAACTAAAAATAATTTGGTTGCATTTATTTAAAAAAAAAAGTTGATTTATAAAAAATAAAATGTGTTAAATAAAAGAGTTATTAGTCGGTCAATAATGATAATTATTATATAAAAATAATTATTTTTAGAGTGAGAAAATCAAGGTCAATCTCACAATAAATTTGTTAGTTTATGTACAATATAAATATTATTAATGATATTAAATATACGTATATTTTCTAATATATTATGATCGAAATAGGGTGAAATGGTAGGCAACTCTATGGGGTGCAGAATGACTATTGTACTTGAGCGAAGTCGTCTAGTGGGAAACGTAACGTTTTATATATCTTTATAATACATTTATTTGATTATGTAATACTAAGAAAATAAATAAATTTGCACCATTTATCCTTGAATATATAACGAAATAATTGAATCGTTTTAAAAACCAATAAAATAAATAATTAAATAAAAATGAGATCAATAAAAGCGGTTATTTTTAATATGTTTATAAAATATGTCGATTATAATAAATCACAAAAAAAACAGTTTTTAGTATGACAAATTAACAGGAAGCGAGAAAACTAACTAGTTTGATATGTTTATTGAGGTTATGTTCAATTTAATGCTACTATTTGTCATTGTTTTAGATATAATATTAAATAATCAAAATTATTTATTTAGTAATTTATTAAGTAAAGTCAATCTTTCATAATTATTATCATATTACAAAATAAACAATTAATTGTAATTAAATTGGAAAATATATTGTATTAATAAATATAATAGTAAATAATATCAAATATTCATTGATCAAAGTGATCTGATACATCATTGTAAGTTCTTTGGAATATGTA